TTTATTTTCAGGCGGCGTAAAAAAAATAAATCATTGTGTGGTGCAATTGGTCTCCACTGAAAAATGTTTCCTGAAGGTGAGTGAATCAAAAACATCAACTATATATGATATTGTGAATGATTTTATGCATTGAATGACGAATATAAACATGATTCAACATGGTGGTTCACAGTGGCTGTTTCCAAAATTTTTTTCGGGATCAGATTTCAGGACATACTTGTGTACCATCACATTTGTGTGCTCCGGGAGCGTACCGCTATGGATCAATTAATGACCATTATCGATTTTGATTTAAACATTCCAGTGTGTCAAAACTGTCCTCCATTCCAAGAATTTTGAATTGCAAAAAGATCAAAATGAAATTTACGAATTGTTGGATCAGATAGGATTAAATCTGGAAATCGAGTCCGATTAAGATGACCAGTGGAAGGTGAATGCACGCATGAACAGGTAGAAGTGCTGGAGGAATATTTGTTGAGTGGGTGGATGAAAATACCAATTAACCAACCGTTCTTCTTACAAATAGAGAAGCTTCTAATTCAACAAATGACAATAAACCATATTAGTACGGTGTAATTAGACCTAAACCTCAACATCCAAAGTAAAAGTTTTCCTCCAACACCAAATTGCTCTACATAGTCCCCTTATTCTATGGTAAAAAGTTACACCATTTTGAGCGTCGGGTTTGGGGGGAGGGGGAGGGGGAATTTGAAAAATCACTAGTTTTTTTAGTTTTTCGTAAATATTTCAAAAACTAAGCGGTTTATCCTAAACATTGTTATATACAAAAATGTTCTACGTTAAATTATAAATAAGAATGGTCCTTTTCATAATCACTCTAAATTGTACGGTTCAAGAGTTACAGACGGTGGAAATGTCAACTTTTTCGTAATTTTGATAGTTTTTTTTAAAAATAAGCTTCTTAACAGAATGTTGCTATTTCAGTGGCCGGTGGTATGTTAGTGATAAGCCCTTGAAGGGACGACAACCTCACCACCTTATCAAGGGGCACTCTATTTTAAGGGAAAAGAGGCTTCCACAGGCCTAGGCCATATAAACCTGTGGTACGGAGAAACCCACCCTGAACTTTCTACGAACATTGCAACATAAATTCACTTCTTAAGTATGAATATCTTTCAAATTTGGATTGTTCAATGTCTTTATTAACTTCACTCATCCTCCAGCACATTATCCTCCTCCTCTAGCTCGTCGTCTAAGATGTTATTATTGTCCATGTTATCACATGCTTGGCCTGAGCATTTGCTGCATATGCTAGTGCAGTTTAGACCACTCCTTCTGCATTCACAATTACGAACGCATTCATCTTTGCAAGTACACATTATAAGGGACAGTAATTCCTGGGGGGCTGCAGGACGTGCTGTTGTAATTGGTGTCGGGTGGTCGCCAATCTTCTTCCAACCCCACTCGAGTGGATCCTTATCTTCATTCAGCCACCGTTGTACCGGGTGGTAGGTCCTAAATGAATGCTGTCTGGACGCTCCTGAAGTGGGGGGTAGTGCATCCAACTTCAGTAATGCATGTATAGGCTGCTTTGCAATCGCAAACGTGTTATTGGTGATGACACGGACTTATTAGTACTGTCGACTGTCCACGCACCTTCAGGGAATAAACTGAAAATGGTCGTACCTAAAAAAGGAAATCACCAGGAAAAAGTGTACATTATTTCTGACATTCAGCAAGGCATTGGGGATATGAAAGATGTACTTCTGGTTACATACGCCTTCACAGGATGTGACACTGTGTCTGCTGTCTATAAGAAGGGAAAAATTGCACCTCTTAGGAAAGTCCAAGCCAACAACGTTCTTCGTGAAAAACTTCTGGTCTTCAACAACCCCAAAGCCGACCCCAGTGCAGTGGCTGATGCAGGAAATTAATTCCTACTTGCAATGTTTGGAGCCAAGAACACTGAAGATCTAGATTGTCTCCGCTACCAGTCCTACTTGAAAGCGATTGCAAAGCAGCCTATACATGCATTACTGAAGTTGGATGCACTACCCCCCACTTCAGGAGCGTCCAGACAGCATTCATTCAGGACCTACCACCAGGTACAACAGTGGCTGAATGAAGATAAGGATCCACTCGAGTGGGGTTGGAAGAAGATTGGCGACCACCCGACACCAATTACAACAGCACGTCCTGCAGCCCCCCAGGAATTACTGTCCCTTATAATGTGTACTTGCAAAGATGAATGCGTTCGTAATTGTGAATGCAGAAGGAGTGGTCTAAACTGCACTAGCATATGCAGCAAATGCTCAGGCCAAGCATGTGATAACATGGACAATAATAACATCTTAGACGACGAGCTAGAGGAGGAGGATAATGTGCTGGAGGATGAGTGAAGTCAATAAAGACATTGAACAATCCAAATTTGAAAGATATTCATGCTTAAGAAGTGAATTTATGTTGCAATGTTCGTAGAAAGTTCAGGGTGGGTTTCTCCGTACCACAGGTTTATATGGCCTAGGCCTGTGGAAGCCTCTTTTCCCTTAAAAAAGAGTACCCCTTGATAAGGTGGTGAGGTTGTCGTCCCTTCAAGGGCTTATCACTAACATACCACCGGCCACTGAAATAGCAACATTCTGTTAAGAAGCTTATTTTTTAAAAAAACTATCAAAATTACGAAAAAGTTGACATTTCCACCGTCTGTAACTCTTGAACCGTACAATTTAGAGTGATTATGAAAAGGACCATTCTTATTCAAAATTTAACGTAGAACATTTTTGTATACAACAATGTTTAGGATAAACCGCTTAGTTTTTGAAATATTTACGAAAAACTAAAAAAACTAGTGATTTTTCAAATTCCCCCTCCCCCTCCCCCCAAACCCGACGCTCAAAATGGTGTAACTTTTTACCAAACTATAAGAGGGTTATATAGAACAATTTGGAGTTGGAATAAAACTTTTACTTTGGATGTCAAGGTTAGGCCTTTTTTTAGGTTAATAACACCGTACTATATGATGAAATTGACCACTGGCCTGTCATTGATTCTCCGAAATCACCACGTACTGGCTGACTGGAAAGTTGCGGGAGCCGTTCAAGGACGAGGTGTTAAAAATGCAATGTACGCCTATGCCTGTGCTTGAACAATGAAAATAATTGTTTCGTCACTTTTCATAAAAAAACATAAACAATAAATGCATATTTCTCCATGATTAGCGTTTTCTTCATTCCGAGTTGAAATCCCATTTCACTACCAAATAACACGATTGTGAGGGTCCTGAAAATAATATTACATCATCCTGAAAAAAATCGAAAAAAATTCAGGGAGTTTCTGAGGTAACTCTGAGTCACACCTGCCAGAGAAATTTGGGCTATACTTTCCAAACTATTCTCGGGAGTGTAAGGGATAAAGATAGTGTAAGCTCGTGACATACCCTGCTGTATAGGCGCCCAAACAGAGCGCACTTCATACTGAGCATAGATTATAGGGGAGTCGTTAATCTATATGTACTGAGTTTTCTTAAATCAAATAGTTTTGGTCTGAGGAATATGTAGAAGGTAGGTTATTGTATCTTAGGTAAGTACACTCTGAATATTGTTGTAGACACCTTTCTCTGTTACAGCATGAAATGGAACATAATGAGCACTTTATCTCAACCTGATGGAAGTTTGACTTTCAATTTGAAGGCATTGGACCTTTAACGAAAAAAAGTCGCCTGCGGCGCATTTATCGGGATTGTCTATACAGGTCTAGAGAATTGGATTCTGCCCTTCCTTGAGAATAAATCCTGCGGACGCCCATGTACCGCCATAGGTATACCCTAGAAGTACCTTATCAACATACCTATATATAGTAACCTATCTTTAATCTTTTTTTTCATCTCTTGAAGCGCACGAAAGTGAATTCCTATTTAATGTTCCTGGCTGGAACATCGCACGTACCTAGGGAGGATATAGGAAGAAGAGGTAAAGTGTTGGATTTTTTTTTTGAACTTTTGGGGGTACTCTATACTTTCTTACTAGCGTGCGGAAAAATTATTCGACGAAGTTATTGTAGATTCCTTATTCACATAGCAAATGGATAAGGAACTACTTGATATTTTCTCCTTCACCAAATTGTGTGGTAGTGTAACAACCACACTCATGATGATGAAAAATACAATGTATATGTGCTTGGCTCAGAACTGCCGCGGCCAAACATGATAGGAAAGCTTTATTTTCGTCCAAAAGAAATATATCTACAAGGATTATTTACTACATATGTCTGCTGAGTATTTTGTTTCACGATGCACCACCCTTAAATATAATAAAATACATTACTAAGCTTGGGTCAGGACTGCCGCGATCAAACATGACAGAAAGGCTTTATTTTTATCTGAAGAATGATATCTTCCAGGAATAATTTCTACATCTGCCTGCTGGATATTTTTTTTTTTCGATGCACCACCATTAGTCAAAATTATTTTTTTCTAAAGCTCAGTTCAGGACTGCAGCGATCAGACAAGATAGAAATTCTCTATTTCCATCTACAGAATAAAATCTACCAGGTAAAATTACTACCTCTGCTTGCTGAGTTTTTTTTTCGATGCACGTACCACCCTTAAATTCAAAATTCATTTATGTAGCTCAGCTCAGGACTGCCGCTATCGAATCTGATAGAAATAAGGCTTAGTTCACACATGAAGAATTATCTTCTCCAGCAGTAGTCACTATACCTGCTGAGTATTTTTTTTTGTTTTTCGATGAACCACCCTCAAGTACAAAATACACATCTAATTCAAATCAACTCATCGCAAGAGTTTCTCGGAAAAACCTAGGTACTGTGTAAGCAAACATCAAGACAAACATATATCGTGGATTTATTAGAATATATTTGTGAAATACATTAAAAACTCTAAAATGAGTATATATATAAGGCTATTGGATTAATGTGAGTACAATTATTGTTCAGAAACTTTACACAATCCCTGTCAAATATTATTTGAATGAATGAAAAAAAAAATTTGGAGGTTTCAAGGATACCTGCCAAGCTTCAAATCACTGGGAACTCTGAGAACAAAAGTCCTCATCACTGAATTCTAAAACCTAAAAGAAGCAGTCAAGTAGCATCATGTCGAATATTATTTTCAGGAGCACTAGCAATACTATCGATAGCAATTCTGTCAGAAATTAACGAGATCCAACTGCTTGTTAACACAATGAGTCCACTTACCTCAAAGCAATATTTGATCAAGGTTTAAGCTTTCTGACAGAATTTTCGATAGAATAATTGTGAACACGAAATGTATTTATTGAGACAATTCCACAACCTTATATGAAATACCCCGACGATGTGGTCTTATTGGCTTGACAAAAAGGAGCAGCATACAATCAATTACGTCGTGGAATTGTCAATCATGTATCTACATTTACCTCTCCAAAATCAGTTTCCTTTAACATTTCCGTTAATAGAGCAACATCTTCCAAATGTTTCGAACTATTGAACACTTCCAATAAAAACTCCATTCCTTTTTCTTTGTATTCCTGAATAATCATGTCTGAGCATGCCACGCAGTTTTTATACTTCTGAGTTGCTGGTAGAAACTGTTCAAAAGAGGATAGGAACCCTCTTATGGAGTGAGGTACTAGTCCCAGATTCGAAGGATTTATATCAGAAAGATCTTGGGAGGATACATTTTGAGATGTGGTATAAAATGCTGGAGCATGGACTCTGAAAAATTGAATGTAGATGGTTAATCTGAAATGCATCTTCAATGAAGGCTATCATTTTAAGTCTCACCAGTTGGCGCTACTAAAACGTGAGGTCAGTGTCAGTCAAAAATTCCAGAATGTTGCCGGATAGCCGTAAAGGCAAATAAAAAACCTCAGGTTATCGAAAGACTAGAGCCGGCTTACGTGTTTCTACTCTCAATGTGAAACTTTACGAACAATTCTTATATTGACGGAGAAGAAAATAGAAGATAGAAGCAGAAGTATATTCATCAGTTCTACCAACCCTGCCCTCAAGTTTCAGTGGCGCGTTCTGGTGGACAAAAAATAATGTTAGCCCTCATTAATAATGTTAGACCTCATTGAGCTGCTCTACCCAAAAAAGCCTTCGCAAACAGGCATAACCACAAATGTGTAAATTTAGTTTGAATGTGCTTACAAGGTGGTGACTTTATCTGGAACGAAAAGTATTTGGGAACGATGCAAATACACGTCGATTGAGATTTTCTGTATGCTTCATACTATTTACAATCAGATTGTTTTCAACCCGCTTGAAGGTGTGGAACATTACCCCCTCGATTATTTTCAATTTGATCATACCACTTATTGGAGAACTATTGTAAAAATAAAATTGACTGCAATGTTTCAATTTTCATCTGTTGGGTGAGTTTTGATTTGAATAGATAGTGTAAATGGTTTTATTTCGACAAAAAAGCATTTTACTTTCAAATTTGCTCTTAATTTTAAACATCTGAGGCGATCCATCTTACAGTGGAGTGAAGGCAGTAGGACAGGACAAAATTCTTACAGTCGACTCCACCAAAGCTATACTTTATTGTAAGCAATCTTACAGGGACATATTTCGAAGCTTTAAAGCTTCATCATCAGCATTATTCCTACATAGGAGTACTCAAGTGAGAGAAAAAAGAACAATGTCAGACAAACCCCCCAACAACGATAGGTCTAAAAGACTCACCTGTTCTGGAAAAAGTTATGTTTACATATTATTCATATTATTGAAAATGTAAAAAAAAAATTTCCATAATATGAATAATATGTAAACATAACTTTTTTCCTCCAGAACAGGTGAGTTTTTTAGACCTATCGTTGTTGAGGGGTTTGTCTGACATTGTTCTTTTTTCTCTCACTTTAGTACTCCTATGTAACAATAATGCTGATGATGAAGCTTTAAAGCTTCGAAACATGTCCCTGTAAGATTGCTCACAATAAAGTATAGCTTTGGTGGAGTCGACTGTAAGAATTTTGTCCTGTCCTCTTGATCTTAATTGTATGCCTTATTCAAAAAACCAAAAATGTTCTTGGCATCCCCAACCCCTTATGGGGTAAGAACGCCTCTCAATTACTTATAATATTTTAATGATGGTAAGCGCCTGTTAAACTGAAAAAGGATTCTCACCAATGATATGATTAACATAATATGTCCCCACACCCACAATCCCTTGATGATCTGAAATATATACTGGGCCCGACAAGTTCATAGATACATTATTGCTAGTTCTCACAACTTTGAGAAAGAAGAATGACTAATTTGAATGATAGTTGCGAAATAATGAGACTTTTTCAATGGGACATTTCAAGAAATGAGAAATATTCACGCGTTTCTTTGAAAAAAAAAAGAAATTCGTCGGTTTTATTTAATTAATTACAAAAGTTGATGGTTGGAGAACGAAATTGGTATTTTGCATGAAATGTTAATTTACCAAGTCAAAAAGGTTGGGATTGTTGAAAATAGTTTTCATAGTTTTGAAGATACTGTTCGAGAAATTGCAATAGTCTCTCTAAGAAATTGTCGGGGCCCTGTTTAATGTTCTAGAACCTCAAAACATTGTGATGGCATATTAATTGAATCATATCGTTGATGAAACCTCGGATGAAACCAAACATCTGTATGTGATTTATCATATCTTACAATATGAGCACTTAATCACCGTTGTATATTATTCAGGACCTCGTTTTTGGATGATGACTCATATTGACCAACAATCTGTCTTTAATAATTTTGACAGAAATCATGGGCAACAAGGAATGAATTCAAAATTCAGAAAATAAAGATGGATTTCCAAAAACGTCTCAAGATGAAAGTCCCATCTATTGTACGTACGAAGATGGACGTACATGGAATGTTATAAACTGAATGTCCATTGGACATCCATTTCACTTCCACTGAAAGTCTAATGTTCGTGGACGTTGAATAATCATCCAATGCATGTAAGAAGATGATGTACGTTGGTTTTTGCAAATTGAAATTCTGGTGGATGTCCATATTAGAGTCCGAACGAATACATATATTTGAAGACGTACATTGGATATTTCAAACTGAACGTCCATTGACCGTCCAATTTATTAATTGACGTTTATAGAGGTCAACTTTTTGCTTTCAAAATACATCCAAAATATGCCCATTCCAAATGAAAAACGCATCCCAAATAGGTTTCATTATTTGATAGGTCGCATGTTAGATGTAGAAGTTGAGCTCTAGACATACCCATCCTTGTGTTGTATCAATGAAACTGCTAACTCAACTGCCAGACTGCCTGCTATTTGAGAGACGCCTGGTCTCGTGACGGTGCACTGTTGATCCAAAGTACGATTTTTCATGGACTAAGAACATGAAGAAAAACTATAAAAATGATGAATTGATAGGAATCAGCAATGGAGGACGAATATTCATCCGCGGTGGGATTTATTTCAACAGATTTCATTCAAAAAATGGTTGTGTCTGATTGGTCTATTTACTCGATTTCATGATCAGGGAAATAATCAGAAATGGGAAATCAATATCTCAAAAGTGTCATCAACTGTTTCTTTTCCGACAGTTCATTATCACTGGTGTGATATCATTAGTAACATCAAGCTAATCGTTAGTGCTTGTATTGTGTGAATAATACCAGAATACCAATAATATCACACTGGGGATTAGTCAGTATTTTATAATTATTGGCAAAGTTTACTTCATAGCAGTAGTAGTAGTAGTAATAGTAAAGAGGGCTCGACCACGAGTCCGTCAGGACGAGTGGTATTTCTGTACGGCAACACAATTGAGTTAACAACGAAAGACAGAATTATGAGAAGATATTCAGAACAGAGTGGTATTTTGATAAACTATTTCACGTTCACGAAGTATGAAAAGCATTGAGTATACATGAGTATTTCATTCTGACAAGAACATCCATAATTATTCTATGCAAAACTGACAGACTTTGCTTAGCAATCCATGGTTACATCGTTGAAAACATCAACGCTGATAAACCAATCAGAATTGAAACACAGCTGATGTTTTCACGATAAGCACACGTTGTCTCTGGCTTGATTGGTCAGATTATGTGATGAGTGAAATAGTCATCAAAATTCTGATATAAAGTGTAGTTTTTGAAATAAAAGATGTATGTTTTCTCCGAAGACAGACCTTGATTCTGATTTCGATCTCTATTTAGTTTTGACGGGAAATATAAATGGAATACACCTACCAAGTATGAATAGATTATACGAAATGGTTCAAGAGTTATGATACATAAAAATAACGTCCTGTTCTTAAAAAAGACTTTAGAGTTTAGACACATCAATGGTGGCCACTTGGAATCACCAAAGTGTTTTCTATCTACAGGTATCATATACCGGGTGTAACAGGATCACAGTACAGCCCTTTTTTCTCCTTCAGTTTTAGAGGTAAGTGGAATTTGGAGTGAATCATCAACTTGATAAACGTCATGTTTCAACATGAACATGTTGCATTTTTCACTTCCAGTTTCACAGGAAGTGGTAATAACTTTCGATTTTCAAATGGAACACCCAATTCTACATTAGTCCAATAAATGAAGGAGGAAAAAAGGCAAAGTTAACGTTAATTACGCACTATTTTCATCTTCCGGTTGGAAGTAGCTTTTGGTACCTCATTAAACATGAGACAAAGTTTGACTGGAAAACGCGTGCGATGGCGGAGAAAATGGCCCCAAAAGACCAGGAAAATAGGTTTTCAGCCAATATCTCCTAAAATATGGCAGTTAGAGATTTTCGTTTCAGATAAAAATTGAAGTTCGGTTAATTTTCTACAAAAATGGTCCTCATCATTTTTCTCGAAAATTTGCCCGGTTTCGAGAAAAACGGCACGAAGCGCACCTCGAATAATGAGCTTCTGTTGTATGCCGTAGAGCACAGTCCGTGTATTTACACATCGGCGGGGGGACAAATTATTCAATAACTTTGTTAAAAATGCATATTTTCTCATGATTCAAAGTTCATGTGAAAGAGGAATTCTGCTGCTATCATACCCTGCGTGGCCGCATGGTTTGTAGCAGACGACCCGAGCGCCACGTAGAGCACACACGCGGCGAACGACGGAGGAACGAAAGTAATAAATTATAGCGTGTACATTTAGATATACTGGTTTTTTTCCCGGGATATCAAAGGTATGACTTATATACATCGATGGAAAGGTGGGAATTCCCCCGTTACACTAGTTAAGGTGTTAAAATGTTAGAAATAAATAGCAGGGAGAAAAAAAACCACCGAAAAAAAAGTGCGTTTTTTCCTTGACCCCGCTTTTTCTAATTTTATTGAAAAATGGACGACTTCGTCTAACAAAGTAATTGCACAATCGAAAAGTAGACCTTCTTAGCTTTCGAATGATGTATCATAGAAACCAATCGGATCATGTATAAATTTTTAATTGATGGTAGTTCACAAAATTTTCCCGCGCTCCAAAAACAGCAAAAAATTGGGATTCAATAAACAAAGATTAAATGAAAATTTAAAAAAATTAGGGTATATAAATTTCAGGGATGACGAAGGACCTTATGAGGACCCATAATCAAGAGAATTTTGAGTAAATTAGTGCAATACAAAAAAAATAGGAACCAATTCCTGGCGAGGTCAAAATTGACCGGGAGCAGGAAGTTTGACCCATGTTCCGATATGGCCAAAAGAGTCAAGCGTGACTCAATTCACAGGGTATGATAGCAGTAGATTTCCTCTTTCACATGAACTTTGAATCATGAGAAAATATGCATTTTCAACAAAGTTATTGAATAATTTGTCCCCCCGCCGATGTGTAAATACACGGACTGTGCTCTCCGGCATACAACACAGAAGCTCATTATTCGAGGTGCACTTCGTGCCGTTTTTCTCGAAACCGGGCAAATTTTCGAGAAAAATGATAAGGACCATTTTTGTAGAAAATTAACTGAACTTCAATTTTTATCTGAACCGAAAATCTCTAACTGCCATATTTTAGGAGATATTGGCTGAAAACCTATCTTTCTGGTCTTTTGGGGCCATTTTCTCCGCCATCGCACGCGTTTTCCAGTCAAACTTTGTCCCATGTTCAATGAGGTACCAAAAGCTACTTCCAACCGGAAGATGAAAATAGTGCGTAATTAATGTTAACTTTTTCCCTTTATTTATTGGACTGCATCATTTTCTGAAACAATGACACCACACAAATGGCATTTCAAACTTTAATATTGATTTTGATTTCATTTTTGATATTCCATCTGAGTGTGCCTTGACTATCCTGATCCAATCTAATGAACTCATATCGATTGGTCTAATGCTAAAAAAATTAATTCTGTCAAGAATTTGAAGTTTCTTCTTTTAGCACCAAATTAAGTTCATCAAAATGGTTTGGTGTACCATGATCCTGTCCTGTTACACCCGGTATGTATGTACATTTGAATCCCGTATTTTCCATGAAAATAGATCGATGTAAATTTAAATTCTGTAATTGAAATGAATATACTCACATTACATGGAGCTGTCACGTCATTGCAGAAATAACAGCCCAAATTTGCTCCATCTATTACTCTATAACCTTCAGGATGCTCCATGCTTTGTTCAGTAGCATTTTCTACGTAAATGCCATGCCTCATAACCAAGTAAGAGTCAAAACCTAATGCTGCATTCAATACCACCTGAAAAATGATGTTTGCTACTACAGGCAAGGGCGATTTCACCGTTTGGCATAAAAAATCTGATATACCATTTCAGTAGCATATAGTTTAGGGTTACTGGTAATACGATACATTCCTTTGAAGATGTGATAGGGGAGGCCCTAAGGGGTGAATTTAACCCTAATATGCATTATGCAAAAGTTAATAGTTTTTAAGATATTTAATTTTTTCGGTTTGTCTCCAAAAAGTAGACTTAAAGGGTTTAAAAGTTAGTTTACCGAAAATCTACTGTGCATTTTTCCAACCTTTCAACTAGAATACATTATCATAGATGAGTTGTAAATACAGGGTGTCCGCTAAAAGGAGGTCAATCCGTTAACCATATATATTCCTTGAACAAAAACGATATGAGTTTCTAAATATCATTTTTCATTTTAGCCCTTCATATTCGTCAAAGTTGGAAATTAAAAACTGTTTTTTTCTAATTACTCGCGTATTTAATAGATAAGATATTGATCTCAAAATTGGTACATCACTTCAGCACAAAGAGTTACATCGTGTGAGGAAAACAAAACAGAAAATAACTGTCAAATATTCAAAATACTGGGGGTCAAGTACACACTTACCCCCGATTTTTTTTTGTACGTGCGCTAATGACTTCCTATCTATTTTTATTCAAGTGTTCAATCATTTTTGAGTATTTTTTTGTTTCTTGTAAAATTTCGATAAAATTATTTGTTTTTAAGATAATTCGAAAAGTACTGGTTATTGTTTGATGCCTATGCGGTTTACGGTGATCTCATAATGTTCACATACTCCTATTTATTTCGTCGAAATTGGAAGAGGGCGTAACTTTTCACGTACGAAAAGGTAAATATGTAAATACCGGGTGCTCAGAGCGAATGTTCAAAAATAATTTTTACAAAAAAAAATTTAAAAAATGAGGACACATGTCGAATAGAATTTTTTTGCCAATCGAACGGCGTTAAATTATTTTTTACAGGGTCAAATGAAGAAAAACGTATATGGAATTTCGGGTAAATAATGATTTTATTTTAGGAGGATGGGGGGTCGATTGACGAGCCCACCCTTTTAAAGAATTATTTAATTGATTTTTTTCGAGAGCAGCAAATTTTTTTTAAAATCGGTTTGAGCTGTTTTTGGGGGGTGCGGAATTTAATAAAAACTTCGGGCGCGACGAACGGAAAAAATTAAAAAAATATATTTTCGGAAATTTTTGGTGAAATTATGATATCCATGATTTTAATAGCTACTTGATGAAAGAAATAGCAGATCAGGATTGTCTGGGGATGTATGAAAGATTTTGTGTTTAAGCCACATATTTTTCAAAGGCTAAGATTCTCTTTAATCAAAAGGGCTCGCATGTGTATTCAAAAAATTAGAGGTCATATCGAGCAATTCATTTAGACGTATTGAATTTCAATCAATTTTTTTTTTGTAAAAATTATTTCAATACATTCGCTCTGAGCACCCGGTATTTCCATATTTACCTTTTCGTACGTAAAAAGTTATGCCCTCTTCCAAATTCGACGAAAAAAATAGGAGTATGTGAACATTATGAGATTACCGTAAGCCACATAGGCATCAAACAATAACTAGTACTTTTCGAATTATCTTGAAAACAAATAATTTTATCGAAATTTTACAAGAAACAAAAAATACAGAAAAATTGATAGGAAGTCATTAGCGCACCTACAAAAAAAATATGGGGGTAAGTGTGTACTTGACCCTCAGTATTTTGAATATTTGACAGGTATTTTCTGTTTTGTTTTCCCCACACGGTGTAACTCTTTGTGCTGAAGTAATGTACCAATTGTGAGATTGATATCTTATTAAATACACGCGAGTAATTAGAAAAAACAGTTTTTAATTTCCAACTTTGACACCCTGTATATTGAATATGAGGGGCTAAAATGAAAAATGGTATTTAGAAACTCATATTGTTTTTGTTCAAGGAATATATGGTTAATGGATTGACCTCCTTTTAGCGGACACCCTGTATAATGTCGTCTTTTCCTTTGTGAATTGTGGATTTCAACACATTTGTCAAAAGTTTCTTAAAACATCCTCAAGGCAATGGCTATTTAACTAGGTACAAACGAAACTGAAAGTGCTTGATACGGGTTTGTTATTTTAAATGAATAGTAAAAACATACTTGAAAAATATCTATTAGTATATACTTTTTACAAATCCTGTTCAAAGTAAAAGCCTCTATTACGAATACATGCTCGGCAGCGTCATCTTATTTCCGTATTTGTTATTCTACTTATCAAATTATTTCGTCGATTATCCTTTGTATGAGCTCTTCCCAGGTATTCACTGGGGTATAATAAACTAGAGCGCTTTCATAATATGACCCCACACATAATATCCAAAGGTGTTAGGTCAGGGTTTCGCGCTGGCCAACCTAGTACACCTGACCTTCGAATCCAACGGTTAGGTCAAGATTTCGCGCTGGCCAACCTAGTACACCTGACCTTCGAATCCAACGGTTAGGAAAATGTTCATCCAGGAACTGCCGAACGATCAGCCGATAATGCGCTGAACAAACATCTTGTTTCGAATGTCATTCGTCCTGTGATGGCGAGAGGAAGATCCCCAAGATGCTCCTGTAGATCAAGCTGCAGAAAATGTTCATACTATGGTCTCATTCTCATTTCTGGAATTTTTTCATTCCAAACATAAGACCATACTGTTAATAATGTATTCTGGTTGAAAGGTTGAGAAAATGTACATCAGATTTTCGGGAAACTAGCTTTTGAACCCTCGAAGTCTACCTTTCGGAGAAAACCAGAAAAATTCAAATATCTCAAAAACAAATGACTTTTGCAGGGTTTTCACCTCCCCTATCCCCCCATAATTAACCGATGTCGATGTTATTACTGGTAGAATGGTTCGTTGTTCATACAAATCGAATATGGATATGGCTATATATATTCCGAATTCAACTGCCAGTACTGAATTTACTGATTATTATTTGTTCCGAAATTAAAAATTTCACTGAAAATGACAGTTTTCGAGAGCAAAAATACTATCATCCATCCTGAATATTTTTGGCTCAGATTTCTGCTGATATTACTGACCACCAAAAGGTAGTGTGAGGTCAGCAATGTGTCAATAATGAAGCGAACATAATATGTACGTACGTAATAATATTATAGACCAGGTGGTGACAGTAGGCGATTGTGTGCTATCTGAGTATGTATACAATGGTGGTTGCATATATACTACGCGCTTATAAGAAACACCTTGTATATCACCACCAAATGTTCTTAAGAAATCATCAGAAGACATTTTCAAATACAGTCACAAGTTTTCTTCGAATAATGTCTCGGAATAAGTCTTGAATGGGATGTTGTGAGACGATCTTTAGCACGTAGATAACGGTAACAGGAATAACGTTGGTTTGACGTAAGTACGTCCCAGGGACGCGTCCTCAGGATATGGCCACATATATGGTCATGGCCCTCGACATTTTGAGGGCATTATTGATGCAATACCAAAAGACCTAACTTGTAAGAGATGGGATTCAAGAATACTCCAATCAACCAAGTAAATAAGATGAAAATGAAAGTTTTGAAAGAAATGTGTAAAATCATTAGTTTCGAGTCAAGTATTTCGAATTGTGCCTCACATTCAGGCAACGACCATACCACGTTGATTTAAGTACCCAGCTCCGTCTGATCCTGGAAGTCAAGCAACGTCGGGCGCGGTCAGTACTTGGATGGGTGACCGCTTGGGAACACCGCGTGTCGTTGCTTTTTTGCTTGTATTGTATGTAGTAATTATTGAATTCAACTAGTCAGTACGGTCAGTAAATCCACTGAGTCTTAGCGCGCTGAACGAGCACAGCAAAAAAAAATTAGTTATTTATTATACAAGGGAATAAAGTAGTAGATTTTAGCTCCAGGTTGTGTTGTCTCCCGACGCGTAGCGGAGGGAGACAACAAACCGTGAGCTAAAATCTAATATTTTTCCCGTGTATAATACACTATTTTTTTCTGTGAAAGAAGGAAGGACGAATCAATATTGAGAACTTATCACATTATTTTGAAATCTGAAAATTATCGACGTGAAATTTTAAGTTTTTAACAGTAGGGACACCGCGTTGTAGGCATCTTTATCATTCATTTGAAGTAATCAAATATCTGATGTCACTTCTGTCAGTCTAATTCTGTGATTTAATTTCAAAAAATTGCGAATTCAGTGGTTGTTCAGTAATATACGTAACCGCGAAGTCGAATGGAAGATAAAAGGACTTGCAGTGCTTTCTCGGAGACGGTATTATTGACTCATTTTTCGGAACTATAGCACAACAAAAGCCATCAGCAGTGTATATACATATATGTGATATATATCCGGGAAAAAAGTACTCACTTTTTTCCCACGGGAAAAAAGTAATTTATGAAAAGTGACATTTTATAACCTGCCAACAGGGATGAACTGCCAAACTTTTTTCCCGTCACAGAAAAATAGTTATTTATCCATACAAGGGAATAAAGTAGTAGATTTTAGCTCCAGCTTGTTTTGATAATGTTTGAGATAAAAAACCGTGACCTAAAATCTGATATTTTGCCGTGTACAATACACTATTTTTTCTGTGACAGGAAACAATATTGAGAAGATATTGAGACGTGAAATTTGAAGTTTTTATGAGGAATGAGACTTATTGCCTTGCAGGCGTCTTTTTGTAGGATATCTTCATCATTATTTTGAAGTAATCTAATATCTGTCAGTTTAATTTCAATTTCTGTGATTTGATTTAGTGATTAGTAATTCACGTAACCGCGAAGTCGAATGGAATATAAATAAAGAAGTTGCAGTTCTTTCTCGGAGACGGTGTCGTTACAAAATTCATCAACAGTGTACATATATTATACAGGGTCCTGCATCTCACCTCTCGTCTTCTATGGCTCTGTTATCAGTTCAGTCAGGATTTTGATATTTTGCAGACTTCAATTGTCTCATAGGGCGCATACCAGGAAAATGATTTCGATTATACAGGGTGTCCCAAAACAGTTTGATGTCATAATGATATATTTTTTTAAACAGCATGCCATATACTGCCTGTAGGTTAATCGAGGAGGTGGTACATTCATTTTTTCTTGATTTTTTGGGAATTTCTCTCTCTCTACCACCGAACAGAAACAAAACATAATATTTTGTGCAAGGTTTATAGAGGTTATTTATAGCTCGATTTATAGGTACCTACCTAAGAAACAGTTTATGTTTGAAATGAGTTTTAATTGAAATAAATATAAAGTATTTAGCTATACTGACTACTATACGTTGAAAGTGTGTGTGTGTTTATGGTTCATGGTATTCACAGAATATGTGTTTGAATATTATTATTATTTACAGATGCAGTGAAAAATACAACAGAAGGCTACCAATCAGAAAGAGACATCATCGCGCCTGCGTAACTGGATGAATCACGCGACGTATTTAGTGGTGAAGCAGCTGATTTACGATCTAGAAAAGTGGAATTGAAACAACTACCTGTTTATATTATTTTGTGCGAATAAATGTATAATAATATTCGGGTATTTCACTCTTCAGATGCGTCAGAAAATAAACAATGAATATAATATGAATGTCCTCAATACGTCCATTTTTTATTCCAAAAAGGTCCTCATCTGGACTTAGAATGGACGTCCCCAAAAAAATCCTGATTAGTAACAATGGACGTCCCAAAAACGTCCATAAGACGTCTGTCGTCCGAAACGTCCTGAATGTCCAGAGTGGACGTTCTTAAAACGTCCATAAGACGTATTTGTGCTGATTGGGTGTAGTCCCACCTCTTCCCTGTTTCGAGAAATTAAAGGAATTTGGGAGACTTATTATACTAGAAACCGGATTTTCTTAATTATTATATATTATCATTATTTTTCAAATCGCCTTGCCCGGTTTTTTGCATTGCAGCATTTTGTGCTCCCCTACTAACAACGTTACTAATTATATTAGGTTTTGTGTCGTTGGCTCTTGGACTATTTGATATTGGTCGTTGTGTAATTCTCGCGACCTCTATCAATGACGTGATAGATAACGTTTTTGAGTTAAATCGGGCCAAATTTGCATAATATTCATTGTAAACCTTGAGTCCCCTTTAGTGGAACCATAGATTGTGGAACGCACCCTATATAATACCAAATGCTTGGCTAGAATTATGCATTGCTGTTGGTTGGAATAATCAAAATTACACATTTTATTTAAACTCATGATGAACGAGTTGAAAATTATACAACGTATTCACCTTTTGTTGAGCATTTGCTAATAAAGTAGGCAGCCATTTGCTGGAATCATCAAAAGTACACATTTTATTTAAACTTATTGATGGTTTAGCTAAAAAGGTGAAAAGGTCAATTGCTCAAAACTATCTTATGATAAACGTGTTAAAAATTATACGTATTCACCTTTTGTTGAGCATTTGCTAGTAAAGTAGGCAGCCATCTGCTCTCTCTAGAATCCATTAACAGAAAAATTACATCATGTGATTCGATGAGCTGGATCAGTTTTTCAACAGTTTCTTTGGTCTGATTCACCATACTATCACCAACAGTATGGCCAGGCATTGGTATGGTCATTTGATATCCTATTGAATTCTACAAAATATGAAGATATAGGTAATTCAGTGCATCGATTTTTTTTCCATTATAACAGCAGGACATATGAAAAAATCTTAGATCTCGGCAAAGTATAATGATAATAGTTATTTCTCTACGACTATCGTATTCTACATTGATTACATATAGGTTAGTAATTGATGAATGAAGATGATTCCAAGACACCGTGGATCCCAAATCATTATTCAACGGCACTCGACCAATCACAGATTCAGAATTTTCAGGATCCACAGCAACTGAAAAGGTTAGACTAATGAAAAACCAGCAAATCTACCAAACAAATTTCTCAAGAAGGCTCTGCTTCATTTTACGGGTCACGTCACGGCTTGACTTACGCGAATGTCAGATTGACTTATAGAGTCTTTCAAGTTTTAACTTTGATATCTGGAGGATATAATGGAGGCTTGCCGTTCCATAGAAATGTACTCTATGAATATTGAAGATATTCAAGATCTTGTATCTGCATGGATGATAACTATTCCTGAGACCAAAACAAAAATTGTAAGGAGGTTCACTGTAACCGGAAAATTTTATCAATTTTGTAAAAAGTACATTGATATACGAGCACCAAATGTGATTTCCAATTTTTTCATGAATTACCAAAAAGGAAAATGTACTCTTTAGAAAATTGGAATTAATAAGTTTGCAGCAATGGGAAAACAAATAGTTACATTTTGGAAGCTACCAAATCCCGAGATGTACACCGGGCATTGCTTTGCTTGTCAATGCAGGTGGAGGTATAACAGCATTGAAAAGACATGGTGGCTGGAAGAGCACATAGGTGGCAGAAGGATTTCTAGATTATTCCATGTTGAATAAAAAAACAGCAGATTCGAATTCTTCAATGAATAGAACAATGTTCATCATCATCAAAAAACAGTTCCTTCACACAAAAAACATCAAGTAGCAATATGAATAAAAATGTCAGTGTTGATTCAAATGCAACACCGACATTAAATTTCACGAATTGTGAGGATATCATTAAAAATTTAGTCACTAAGTACGAGAAACCTAATTTACTGACCTAATATTTATTGTGTTGTTTCATCATTGAGTTCGTTGAATATTAAAGATTCCTGTCAATTGTAAGTATTATAATATCATTAAAATTCATACATCAAGTATATTATTTTCATAAATAATAATTAGATTACATTAAATTTCTGACTATCGTATAGTCGTAGAGAAAGTATAGTCTTCTACTCGCGTATAATAGCTATTATTCTCTCGGATAATTCCGAAACTCGCCTGCGGCTCGTTTCGGAATCATATCCTCGGGAATAATAGCTATCATTATACGCTCGTTGAAGAATATACTATTATACACCAAGGTAGTAAAGAATATCATTATCACACAGGGACCAAGATTATATCACGAGGCTTCAGCCGAGGGGTATTACCAAGGTGTATATTAAATTTTCTTCACCACTAGCAATATATTTCAATCATTATAGTTCTGTAGTGAAACTGAAATGTAGACCTATCTAACTACGAAAGCACTTCTATTCAATTATAATTCATATCTAGTCACCATGAAAGCATAATGACAAGTCGCTATTGATAAAAACCTAATAGATTCCAGTGCCATTCCTGTGAATATATCGCATCAGAACAGTGAATTCGGGTTAATTTGGTGGCTATGTTTTTATTAACTAGTGGTTCATAAAATGACGAAAACTACCTTGGTAGAAAAAACACACTTTAAAGGAGTGAATGGTGGTAGGTTCTATAGCTAGTAGTTGAAAAATAGTTATTTAACCAACTAGTGTATTAATGAGGGCGATTAATGATCGAGATATTTTAACGTGCGAGCGAAGCGAGTTCGTTAATGTTCGAGATCATTAATCGCCTTTTAATATACAAGTTGGTTACAAAATTTTTCCGTCGACTATATTTCTCATTTCTCCTGCAATGAAGAAAACTTGGTTCGCCAAGTCATCATCCATCCGGAAACTGCTAAGAATCACCCAGTAGCCTTGTTACTGACATTAGACACATTTGACATTTGTCGAAATGATCAACATAGGAAATAAATTCCTTGTGTTAAAAAACAGGGATTAATATCGTGCCAGAATAGTGGAAAGGCGAACCCGTTAACGGAAAATCGTCGATGAAATCCATATTTTCGATTTAAATGCAGATTCCGTAAGTTATAGCATAAACAATGAATGCACGCGGTGTATGTTTGGTTGCCTATAAAACAATCGTGTATTAATAGACAAATCGTTCATTAATAGGGGTCATTAATGAACGATTTCATATACATTAAACTTAGTCGTTAATACGAGGTCGACGGAAAAGATTTTTTTTAATTGAGCGTGTTTTTTGGCACTAGACGTACAGCTTCGTTCAATTGCAGTTCACCAGTGATACTACAGGGTATTCAATATTGATATTTGATGAACTATGCAACCAAGAATATACATTTGTATATCTTTAACATGGGTGGAAAATGAATGCTGTATCAAAAACGCTCACGTGGCACTCAATATTTATCAAAGATCTGTCGATAATATTGGTGGAAAAATATAAAGAAATCAGTCGAATTCAGAAATATGTTGATTCTCTCCCTTCATACTTTCCATATTCCTCATGTCAATGGCTATTCGATATTTGAGCATCGAAGCAAAAGTGACACTGGTAGCGGAATTTAAGGTCAATAAAATGACAAATTGTCCAACTGCAGAAGTGTGCAATAAAACGAAGCTGATATTGGTAGTTTTGTCACAGCATGAAGATTCCCACAGAGAACTATAGTCTCGATTACGAAATATTGTATTCTGAAAATACAACTACACTGAACTTACCACTCCAGGAAAAATCTTTCTTATATTCTCAGCAGCTGCATCTGCTTTAGGTTTCATTTCCACAGAATCCTGGTAAGTGTAGAGACTTTGACGTACTGGATTTGAATAAGAAACTGCTGAATTATCTACAAACGTTATATTCCTTACACCCCATCCCTAGAAAACGAGTTTTCATTTTATTTTTGCATGATTTTTTTTGTTGGCCGGCTATGAAGTATTACTGAATACAGTGTGTTTCACTTCATGAGGCGACAATTTCTTTTATTATACATAACACATACATACAAGCAAAATGTTTTTTAATGAATGTGAAGAGTTAACGTTTTCAACAGATACAGATCCGTTTTTCAAAACACCCTTTCTGATTTAGAAACATTATACCTTTTATATTTGATATAAGACGAGACTATAGTTGAAAGATTGAATTAAAAAAAAAACAATTAAGTCCCTGGAAAAATATGTTTCAGTTGAACGCTACATTATAATTCAGAAAATATAACAGTCTCTTCCACCACAACTTATTAAGTAACATCTTTGTCATACACATATGCTTTAAAATCAATCATCTCTCTCACTCTCGAGTATTCCGATCTAATAATTTTAAATAGGTACTAGGTTGTTCTCAATAGATAAAGGACCCCGTGTCCTGAGAGCGCATACTATTGTTTTTCATTTGAACATTTCATATACCAGAATGGTATGTGAAGGGTATTGCCAAAAAGTTTCGTTTTTTGATAACATCATAAATTAACGGGTTTTTGGAAAAGGGGCTCCCCGTGCCCTTATGAAAGCACTACTTCTACCAAAGATTAAAAGTGTAATTTTTCGAAATTTTCCCAAGCGGCATTAAACTGAGATATTGGCTGTATGAAAAGATCTGGGACACCCGGGATAATAGAATATTTCGAGATTGCATTACCAAATATACTGGGTGACCAAGTTGCAAGTCATTCGATCGAGCGTTGACTTCTTACACGGAAGACATTTTAGCTGTTTTTTTTTATCGCTTGGTGCGCACTAAAGAAAATCCCCTCGGGAATCCCTATACGTTCGAAGAACATCGTGCGTACCTAGGGAGGATAGGGAGAGGAGGTAGGTGTTGGAATTGTCTTTGAACTTTTGGAGATTATATAAGTTCTTGGAAATACTTCCTTAGGCAATGAATTCCAGAGCTTTCCCGTTCTATAGAGAAACGAGTTTTGGTAATGTGTTGTTCGACATACTTCAAGGTTGACAATGAAAGGATGTGCTGACTGAGCTTGTCGAGTTCATCAGGCTATTATTGGTGATCATGAAATGATAGCAGAGATTTCTGAAGATTATTTCCCGTGGAAGTATCTATAAGTGACTTCTTTGCAGTGTTCCATTGATTTCAAAGTGTTAGTAAGTGTGGCATCACCCACCAGGCGAATGGCTCTTCTCTGGATGGAAACTAAGAGCATCGAGAGTATTTTTGGAATATGAACCCCATATGTGAGAATAGTATTCTAGAACAGGTCGTATCTGTGCTTTGTAAATAATGAGAAACTGTAAAATCTGTTTGAGCAGAAGATTCCCTTGATCATAATGAAAAGGGAACTTTACTGAAAACAGTCTTGATCTGACCAAGCTGTGGAGGCCGATTTTGGTAAAAGTCTACCCTGGTCTGCTAATGTGTCAGCGCACTGTGTTCATTGGCGTACTGATTCAGTCTTTCAAGGATGTTTCTTCCTGTTTTCGGAAATACTTCCAAGTATTTCTGTGAGCGAATGCGCATACGTCCATACTGTAGTATGTGAATCATTATAACCAATGAGATGAGATTTGGGAATGATTCATAAACTGTATAGGTTTCCGTCTACACTGACGCTTATTCAATTTCGGAATTTTGAAAGTTCAAGTCGTATACATTATTTGTATAAACAAATACCTCTTTCGATCTTGGCAGTCAGGAACCGGACAAATCCCAAGTGTCTTATAAAATGTGTTCCATAAAATTTCCGATAATAAAGGTCAAGTGGCAAAAACTAATGAAATACTTACTAATAATGTTCGGGCTACCGAGCAACCAAGTGTACCAGAACCTAATAATAAACATTTAGTATTTTTCAGTTTGTCTAAATCAATGCTGGGTACTAGGTTCCATTTCATTAGTTTCAAGTTCAGGTCGACTGCATTTTCTGAGATGCTACAACATAACAATAAGTAGGTCTTTCATCTTCCTGTTAAATTTAAGAGGGTGATTTAATTTCTTTCAGTGGAAAAAGTGTCTATATTAATATTTTTAATCAAAGTGAATCGGTACACAATGAATGCCCGTTTTTTCATCACAGTTGATCTCTAGGTGAATAACAATCAGTTCAAAAGTCTCATAGCTACAATGTTAGGTAAGTATGTATTCCTTATAATAAACATTATAGTATTTTTCAGTTATAGCGTATTCGACTGGCTGCACTATTGCGCATCCAATTCCAACTTTTGTCGTGCGTTCGTGTTCGGCTAGTATATGCACTAAGACAGTACCAATATTATTTCTATTTGGTTGAACAGGCACTACTCAAGGGTAGAGCTGAATTTATGTTCACCTGGTAAGAGCGCTCGTTGTTAATTCGAATGTTTTCGCACAATAATTTTAAACGGTGCCAAAGTCACGGACTGAGAAATGCTGAAAGATATTGGGTGTTCATTCATATTCTTATGTTCTGATTTCGAAATAAATGTAATAAAACTATTAGCAATTGATTCCCTATTGTCGAACAACAGTGATAGTAGCTATTAGTTGATAGCAATAATGATGTTTCTGAATTCATAAAATCGAAGTAGGATGAAATAGGAAAGCAGAAAATTAATGATACCCAGAAATTGCAATGAAAAATTGGAATACGAGGTATTTGTAGTAAATGACAAAATTGCATTATACCTACCTACCTATCTCTGATTATTCACAAAATATCTCTATACCTATTATGCCGCAAACAATTATTCTCTCCATACTTCGAAATTCAAGAAATAATTTGACAATTTGTCAAATTTAAATTGAGATATTTGATTAGATCTAGCTTGATCCAGCCTTAGGATCCAACAGCACGTTGTCCTAAACATACCAGTTGAATATTCATAATGGCAATTGAACTTCATCCATAAGTGCCAGAATAATTTGAAATATCGACATGCATCTGCTCTAGATTAGTTCGAACAAAACGAATTCTGTCCGAAGTCAGTGCAGTGCTAAATACCGTGTCAGTGCAATCCAGTCGAATACGCTATTAGTCTAAATGGTCTAAATCAATGTTGGGTTCTAGGTTCCATTTCATAAGTGTCAATTTAAGGCTGACTAAATAGAATAACACTTCATTGTAGAACTATACATGGTATCCCAAAAACATATTATGTAGCCGAATGATTTGTAGCCCAGCTGCAGTAATTTTTTACAATACAAATACGATTTCAGAACTATTTTTTAAATAATCATGGGATTCTGTGATATTTCAATGGATCTCGTGGAATTCATTGGATCAGATGAAGAATGGTATTCTGCTATACAAATTTCTGGAAAATGGTTCAACCCTAGGACACTTCTTGGTGACAAGATTTGACAGAAAAGTGATAGGGAGTTTTTATTGATTTTTCTTGAATTTTTCATTCAGATTTTAGGAGTAAATACTATATTCTCCCTTTATCAACTGAACAGGAAGCCATGTTTCTGCCTCTGTTCAAAGTTTTTTGATTTTTGATTGTTACTTCAGATTTTTCAATATATGTGTACCAGCTTTCAGACCAGCAGATATTTCTGGAATCTAACATAAAAAAAAAATCGAAAAATTGTGGGATATACAGGGTGTCACTAAAAGGTCTGTACAAATTGATACAATAGACTCCTGAGACCAAATTGAGATGATTGAACAGGGCGTCGGAATTGAATTTAACTTTTGATAATTCACATTCTCTATGTGATGAGAATGTCTACTCTTTTTCAGTTTATTCAATAGAAAACAACTACTTTCCTGGCTATATGCCACGATGAACATTGAATTATATCTATTGAACACACACGATAAGAGTTTGGAAATAAAATATAAAAAAATCTGAAATTGAGAATTTGCATTCTCCTTCCGACAAAAATATGTATATGCACACATCATTCTGAATATTCAACAGAAAACAACTACTTTCCTGGCTATTTGCCAAGTCGAACATTGAATTATATCTGATGAACATTCAAAAGGAGGACATGAAAAATAAAGAATAAAATCCTCCGAAATTGAGAATTGACATTCTTCTTCAAATCGGATGAATAATATGATGAATAATGATATAGAAATATAGCTTACCAATATTTTCAGCATTGAAATGAAAATTGGAATGTATAGGAGAAGTATACTGGCATAAACTCTGATCTGGATGAGCTTGAAAACTTCCAAAAATAATCATTCATATCAGTGATATGGGAAATATTATCTCTCACACACAGGTTATATGACTTTATTGCGATGAAACCATTTCGGATTTCTGAATCCTCATCAGTACCCATGATGTCCACTTATTCTTACAGCCATTCTGAAATTTTGTAAGCACACTAGGAGGACTATTATACATAAAAAACATGTCATAATATTTTGATTGACACACAGGGTGTTACATATTCGGAGTACTGATGATTGAAAAATTGGTAGAACTTTTTTCCGAGTACACCACTGAACAGATATCAATGTTGTTTTCTATTCCTCCATTCAATACCTAACTTCATATCCCTTGAAAGTTTGTGATATTTCTATCAATTTGCAAGTTAATTTGCCAAATTCAATTTGATTCATACCTGATACTCTTCAAAATTATTTAATTATTGTAGGTTCATACTTAATTTTCCTATGAAATCATCAATTATATCAATTATATTCAATTTTTAACACATTTCTCCACGAATTCAAAAGATAGGGTGTTGTATAAAAAATAAATAAGAAAATTCAATTCACACGCCCTTTAGTGACTAAACCCAGCGTTTTGGTATAAAGGTAAGTTTGGTTCAATCATCTCACTTTGGTCTCAGGGGTCTATGGTATCATTTTGTACAGACCTTTCAGGGGCATGCTGTATAGGCAAAAGCTTTCCAAGATAATGAAATTGAATCACACTCATGTCAAACAATCCACTTAAACCACCCATAACTTTGATTTTTCAAATTGCACCCCCATGTTTTACCCAATTCATCTTGAAGAACTTTTTATTCTCAATTCAGTGATATAAAGGACTCAAATACAGTGCTTTCCTAAAGTACTGAATAAATTCATATACGGCCAATCTATCCATTTATGAGAGATCTCCTGAAACAGGTCGATTTTTATTTTCAATTTGCCACATTTTCAAAGAAAAATTGAATATACCGGGTCGCGATTTTACTAAATATACTGCACGCTAGCACAAACCACGCCCACCATAATACGTCATATCTCCAAACATTACCGATATACTCGGAGTCAGCACATCGCACTAAATATACTGTGCTCCAACGAGTCCAACGCAAGAATACACTTTTTATGATTTTGACACGAATTCGACTGAAGCTCTCTCGTTGTCAATCTCTTGTACGCAGGAAATTTATATACCCAAATGGTCTACTGGTTAGCGCTGTCGACTTTCAGTCTGAAGGTCCATGGTTCAAATTGCTGTTAACTTGAACTTTTTTTTGCAACTTTTTTTTCACCAATGTTTTTTTACTTCATTCTGGTTATCCTTTTTCATAAAATATTTGAAGTCAAATAGGTTAGTGCGTTTAGGATAAACAGTCTCATTTTATTCAATTTTGTTGAAGAACTCAACTTTTGAAATATATTATTAATCAATGTGTTTCTACACTATATTATGGTTTTCCTTCCTCAAAAATATTGCAATCAGGGATAGGTTAGTTCGTTAAGGATAAATAGTCTCTGAGTTTTGCCTTAGTACTTCGAAGATGAGATATTACGGTGGGCGTGGTTTGTGCTAGCGTACCAGTATATTTAGTAAAATCGCTACCGGGTCATCCTCGTTTGAGTTATGACGTCCGCGACAATTTTTCAAATTGAACACCCAATTTGTTATTCAATTTTTGGAATCTGCATGTGAAGTTGAATTCAAAAATATATCACACGACGGGTTTCTATACAGTGTGTCCGTTAAATAAAGTGTTTTTATAAAGTACTGACTAAATTAGTTTTCAGCCAAACTATCCATTTCTGTGGAATCTTCCTGAAACAGGTCGTCTTTACTTTTCAATTTGCCACATTTATGAGCAAAAATTAGATATACAGGGTAATCCAAGTTTGAGTTATGACGTCCGCGACATTTGTTCCGAATGAACACAAGGTAACACCCTATATATTTTATTGAATTCTTTGAATCCTCATGGAAGTATGAATTTTAAACTATATTACAGGGTTTATAAGGTTTGTATACAGTGCGCCCATTATATTCAGTGCTATCGTGGAATGGGGTTGCCATTAAAGAAATACTGATGACGTAATTTCTCCTACAGGAATAAATTATTCTGTATGTAACAATTGAATTTGTAAGAGTGCCTTAATAAACATAAAATTCGACGGTTCTGAGCGTTCTTTCCAAAAATTTTTCCTTATTAAACTAAAACTTTTTTGAAATCAGATTTTCATGAAATTGAATAATATATAGGGTGTTCCATTTGAAAAAAAAACTTTCTCGGTCGTCATTGCTCAAACGTGGATCACCCTGTATATTTAATTTGTTCTTATAAATATGGTAAATTGAAGATGGAAATCGACCTGTTTCAGGAGATTCCTCAGAAATGGATTGTATGGCTATAAATTAATTCATTCAGTGCTTTACGAAAGTACTGTATGGCAAGAACAAGAAATTCGTTCTCTGAAGTTTTGAATATGTATTTTAAATAATTTTTATGAAAAAATATTGATGTTCCCTTGAATGATTGTTTGAAATAACTGTTATCACTTGCATTCCTTGTCTCATATGGCCTATTTAGACTTCCTGTGTATCTTAGATTTTTCAGGGAAAATCTAGGTATTTTTTTCTCTTGTAGGGGCTAAAAGAAACTCCAACAATATTCACAGAACATCCTGCGTACCTGGATAGGGAAAGGAGGTAGGTGTTGGAATTTTTTTGTAACTTTTGAAGGTTATAAGTTCTTGGGAATACTTCTATTGGCAAAGAATGATTCCAAAGTCTCACCGTTCTATAGAGGAACAGTTTTGGTAGAGTGTTGTTCAACATAATACAAGGTTAACAAGCCTGTAAAATTATTTACTTCTTTATAATTTTGACTATAACTATATATATTTATTGATTGTGTTGTATAGTCAAATTGACATGGAGAAGTTATGTGAGATGAATGGAATTGAACATGAGGGTACAATTTGAAAAACCTAAGTGAGGAGAGGTGTAGCTTGTTTGACACAAGAGTGATTTTTGATCTCCCCATTTTGGAGAGCTTTATTTGCTTCCATGAAATCCACAATTTTTTAAAATTTTAGATAACCCAGATATTTGCTGGCCTAAAAGCCCTGGGACACCTGGTATGTACCTATATTCTTCTTAAATAAATACAAACAAGGTGTCATGGACTATTGATTGAATTTCTCTTTCAGGTCTCTAATAGTGACATTTCATGCACATGCAACATTTTAGCTTCTTTTAGTGAAAATCATCTGATTCATCCTTACTACCAGTATAGTGAAATGATACTATTTTTTTAAGTAGACCATTAGGAGAGAAACTCCTGGAAAATCACATAAAAGAATATTTTGTCTTGTAGATCAACCTACAGACATAAATCAGTGTTGAATCAAATTTCATACTGTTTGAAAAAAACAGCCTACAGAACTTACATTAAGGGATCCAAACTATTCTTGAGATTGGCTAGTTTAGGTCCCATCTTACCCCTCTCATTTTTTTCCCAGCCTACCCATTCTGAAGTCAGAGTAGAGTCGGCAACAGCAGGTAGCTTCAATTTATAGCAAATACTGTCTAGGCAAGTTATTCTTGATTTTTCTCTGCTCAAATGGAATGCTATGAAGTTAACTTGTTCATTTGCTAAAAACTTACTGAAGTTTAAGTAGACACATGAATATCTATCTGGGAATAATAGGAAATTACCATTCATGTAGTAAAAGGGTGACATAATTTCTCAGCTGAGATCCTATTGAAGAACTAACAGAACTGATGTTATGAAATACAAAATACACTTCAGGAATGTCTTCGAGGTTTATATCTTTCAATTTTTCAGCAAGTGTATATACTTCAAGTCCACTTTTGCCTTTGATAACTAAAAAATAGCATCTCTGGTTGATAGCAAGCTGTTTATATCCATTATGTATCTTCTCTGCCTACAAAACTTTTGAAGGATATTTTGGTTTCAAAATAATTAATTAGTTTTTACCAGTTCTAATGAGAATTCTTCTATTATTGGTGATGAAGCAATTTTTTCAATGACCAATCCTTTTGGAACAGGAAATCCAAACCAATAATAATAATGATACTTTTTTAAATCCTGAAAACACACATTTCAAATTCACATTTGCACACAACATTATTTAACCTTACAGCAAATGACAACAACAAAAATGTATTCAAGATAGATGGATCACATAGAGCTTTGCCACTTATGATTTGTTCAGTAATTGATTGTCCCACTCCATTTATAAGTTCCATTTTATTGCACTCCTTGAATTGTTCCAAGGTGTTTTTGTTATACAGTTTTCCATGGAATTTCAAGTAAGTAAGCTGACCATTAACTTCCCTTGAATAAAATTCAAATAAGATAATATTGTAAGGTAAGAATTGGAGCTCCTACGAGTTGAAAGAAGTGCTGTCTACTTCTAGAAAGGGTGTAGCACAATTCGTACTGCTCACTATTAGCACAGTAATTGGAAAGTATCCCCAAATGTCTTTTCCATCTTCATTTAATTTAAATACATCCAACTTCAATTCTGAAAGTTTATTCCAAAAACTTGGATTTATAGAAGAGGATAACTGAACATAAGATAAAGTTGTCATTTCAAAACGTGTACAGAAATAAATATACCAAAAACTTTCAACTTGTGGCACTTAGGTTCAGTTGGTTTTTTCTTTTAACTTTTTAGTTGCACTTCTGTGTTGAGACTTTTGAGTTTGTTTTCTTTCATCATTAGTTGAGGTTATGTCTTATGTCAATATGTCATGCCAATGATGATGCTGTTCCTAAGCGGAAATTTATAGTACTAGATTACACTTCGGAAAAGTGCTAGAACTGGGAATTATAGTACTGAATTTCAATTTTCTTCAAACTTGTCGTCCCCGAGGTGCGTGCTTGCGCATAAATTTCATTCACAAATTCAAGTCGCCACAAATATAAGTGGAAATATTTCAGAATATCAAAAATAAAAATGAAATTCAATTGATCAATGTCAATTACAATAATTCAGAAAGAAGGGTCTGAGAAATCATCCTTGCCTTTATATAATTATTTTCATTGATTATTAACAATTCAATAGTTTATGATTTCATGAATCTACAATCAATTTGACAGTAGCTCCGATTTTATTCACATTTGACATTTGGCACGTTGATAGCGTAGCCAGAAATGTCTTCTAATTCTCGAAAATATAAAAAATCAACTCATGAGAAAAATGAACTGGAACAATTGATTCTCATTCGATCACTTGGTCAGAGATAAGTTGACTTGGTGAACGTGGCCAACAATGTGTACCCAATGATCTCAATACTCTTTTAGCAATAAATTTCATCAAAAAGTATTTCGGTACTGAACATCTTCGAATAGTACTATTGTACTAAATCTACTACAAGATATTCAGAATTCTGATCACCCTGTATCTGTTTCAATTAAATGTCAGTTGGTGGGTAGGTGCTGAATCATCAAGAGTTAAAATGGGGACATGTAAGCCGTTTTGACCAGAAGAAATAAATGGTTTGAGGTTATTATGAGACATGATACCAATACATAGGAGACCATCGGACCTTAGCCATTCAGGAAGGATATTGAAGCCACATGCAAATTTGCCGTTATAGAAATTGGGTTCTCGAATCTGAGTAGCATATTTCATTCGTTTTTCACTATTTATTTATGTATGGTTCATCAACCTCCCATAGTTGACCTTCCCAAAAAAATTCCTTCGATACGCCTATGTTACTGATCGGATTCATGAGTGTTCCTAAATGCGCATGAATCTGTTTCACCAGTTCGATCTCCTTTCTTTGGTTTTAAAATATTGAGTTCATTGCCTTTTTATGATTTCACTATTCCCTCATTATTATTATTATATTATTTAATGCACTAGCAGGCGATAAAGTGCATTTTATCGCCCAGATTTGTGGACGTAAAGTGGTACATTACCGCCCGTGGGCCCATTATCGCCCATCACGGGCCATAAAGTGCACTTTACCGCCCGCTGCTCTCAAGTCCCTTATATCCACACATCCATTTGTGGAAAACCTATATTTGAACTCTCAGCTGATTTTATCGTTATCATTACATATTAATTTTAATGTGTAGATTATACACATAAACATTGCGCTTCTCTTGAAAACTAAATTTATGAGTATCATATGAATAATAATTTGTTGAAATCTACTCATTACTTGGGAAATAAACTACCACTGCATAAAATTTTTTATGTATCACGTGCGTAAAATGCGTTTATAGCCTTCGGCGTGTAATGGCCTTCGATCGGCTAACGCCATCGGGTCATTATTCACGCCGCAGGCCATAAACGCCTACTTCACGCCCTTCATACATAAATAACTATTATAGTCCGCTCTGGATTCGTTTTCCGCATGTGAGTACGATCTCTGGATTCGTTTCTCGCATGTGAACAGTCCGCGCTTTATTATCCATAAACTGTGTCCATAATGATGGAAGTAGGATATGATGTGATTACTGATGCGCTTTTGTTTCAGAAATTTCACTCGACCTCTCGAGAGCAGCGAGAGCAATAGTTCCGTTGATCTTCTAATAGATGGCAACATTGCACAATTATGACTTCTGTCAGTTTTGAAATTGTCGCAGATTTTTCGAATTCAGAGTTGTTTAATCCCACTGTTACATATGTTCCGCTTACCTACAATGGCATTTGCCATTTTATTTTCACTCGTCAAAGCAGCAATAGCAGCATCACCATCTAGCGGGAAAATGTAGAATCAACGTCTCGCTCGTTGTGACGTAGAGAAATCATAGTAGGCCGGTCGAGTAATTTTTCTGAAATTTTCAATACGTAATAATGGCCGAATGGGCGCACCATATCTTACTTCCATCATTTTATCCATCTTTCTGCTGTAAGTTGTAGCTGTCATCTGTACGTGTCTGGCAAATACGTCAGTTTGCATCAAAGGACCTTAGTATCAAATCCATATACGTATTAATAAACAATACAGATCATAACGGGTGCCAGGATGAAGCCAAAAATATGAAACAAATGAATATCCATAAGGATTTGGTGGCATGATACGCATGCGCCATGCGCTATTATAGTATAGTCATCAAAGACATGCGTTTCGGTGGACAATGACGTTTACTAGCCTTTCAATCAAAGCAGTATGTGTCTGATCGTTTCAAAACTTTTCCTTATGGATATAGTCATTTGTCTTCAAAAATCGGCTTCATGTTTCGCTATGGAAACAGATAGAGATTATCCGTATTGATTATTAATACGTATATGATCCATATACGTATTAATAAACAATACGGATCATAACGGGTGCCAGGATGAAGCCAAAAATATGAAACAAATGAATATCCATAAGGATTTGGTGGCATGATACGCATGCGCCATGCGCTATTATAGTAGTCATCAAAGACATGCGTTTCGGTGGACAATGACGTTTACTAGCCTTTCAATCAAAGCAGTTATGTGTCTGATCGTTTCAAAACTTTTCCTTATGGATAGTCATTTGTCTTCAAAAATCGACTTCATGTTTCGCTATGGAAACAGATAGAGATTATCCGTATTGTTTATTAATACGTATATGGATCATATACGTATTAATAATCAATACGGATAATCTCTATCTGTTTCCATAGCGAAACATGAAGCCGATTTTTGAAGACAAATGACTATATCCATAAGGAAAAGTTTTGAAACGATCAGACACATACTGCTTTGATTGAAAGGCTAGTAAACGTCATTGTCCACCGAAACGCATGTCTTTGATGACTATACTATAATAGCGCATGGCGCATGCGTATCATGCCACCAAATCCTTATGGATATTCATTTGTTTCATATTTTTGGCTTCATCCTGGCACCCGTTATGATCTGTATTGTTTATTAATACGTATATGGATTTGATACTAAGGTCCTTTGATGCAAACTGACGTATTTGCCAGACACGTACAGATGACAGCTACAACTTACAGCAGAAAGATGGATAAAATGATGGAAGTAAGATATGGTGCGCCCATTCGGCCATTATTACGTATTGAAAATTTCAGAAAAATTACTCGACCGGCCTACTATGATTTCTCTACGTCACAACGAGCGAGACGTTGATTCTACATTTTCCCGCTAGATGGTGATGCTGCTATTGCTGCTTTGACGAGTGAAAATAAAATGGCAAATGCCATTGTAGGTAAGCGGAACATATGTAACAGTGGGATTAAACAACTCTGAATTCGAAAAATCTGCGACAATTTCAAAACTGACAGAAGTCATAATTGTGCAATGTTGCCATCTATTAGAAGATCAACGGAACTATTGCTCTCGCTGCTCTCGAGAGGTCGAGTGAAATTTCTGAAACAAAAGCGCATCAGTAATCACATCATATCCTACTTCCATCATTATGGACACAGTTTATGGATAATAAAGCGCGGACTGTTCACATGCGAGAAACGAATCCAGAGATCGTACTCACATGCGGAAAACGAATCCAGAGCGGACTATAATAGTTATTTATGTATGAAGGGCGTGAAGTAGGCGTTTATGGCCTGCGGCGTGAATAATGACCCGATGGCGTTAGCCGATCGAAGGCCATTACACGCCGAAGGCTATAAACGCATTTTACGCACGTGATACATAAAAAATTTTATGCAGTGGTAGTTTATTTCCCAAGTAATGAGTAGATTTCAACAAATTATTATTCATATGATACTCATAAATTTAGTTTTCAAGAGAAGCGCAATGTTTATGTGTATAATCTACACATTAAAATTAATATGTAATGATAACGATAAAATCAGCTGAGAGTTCAAATATAGGTTTTCCACAAATGGATGTGTGGATATAAGGGACTTGAGAGCAGCGGGCGGTAAAGTGCACTTTATGGCCCGTGATGGGCGATAATGGGCCCACGGGCGGTAATGTACCACTTTACGTCCACAAATCTGGGCGATAAAATGCACTTTATCGCCTGCTAGTGCATTAAATAATATAATAATAATAATGAGGGAATAGTGAAATCATAAAAAGGCAATGAACTCAATATTTTAAAACCAAAGAAAGGAGATCGAACTGGTGAAACAGATTCATGCGCATTTAGGAACACTCATGAATCCGATCAGTAACATAGGCGTATCGAAGGAATTTTTTTGGGAAGGTCAACTATGGGAGGTTGATGAACCATACATAAATAAATAGTGAAAAACGAATGAAATATGCTACTCAGATTCGAGAACCCAATTTCTATAACGGCAAATTTGCATGTGGCTTCAATATCCTTCCTGAATGGCTAAGGTCCGATGGTCTCCTATGTATTGGTATCATGTCTCATAATAACCTCAAACCATTTATTTCTTCTGGTCAAAACGGCTTACATGTCCCCATTTTAACTCTTGATGATTCAGCACCTACCCACCAACTGACATTTAATTGAAACAGATACAGGGTGATCAGAATTCTGAATATCTTGTAGTAGATTTAGTACAATAGTACTATTCGAAGATGTTCAGTACCGAAATACTTTTTGATGAAATTTATTGCTAAAAGAGTATTGAGATCATTGGGTACACATTGTTGGCCACGTTCACCAAGTCAACTTATCTCTGACCAAGTGATCGAATGAGAATCAATTGTTCCAGTTCATTTTTCTCATGAGTTGATTTTTTATATTTTCGAGAATTAGAAGACATTTCTGGCTACGCTATCAACGTGCCAAATGTCAAATGTGAATAAAATCGGAGCTACTGTCAAATTGATTGTAGATTCATGAAATCATAAACTATTGAATTGTTAATAATCAATGAAAATAATTATATAAAGGCAAGGATGATTTCTCAGACCCTTCTTTCTGAATTATTGTAATTGACATTGATCAATTGAATTTCATTTTTATTTTTGATATTCTGAAATATTTCCACTTATATTTGTGGCGACTTGAATTTGTGAATGAAATTTATGCGCAAGCACGCACCTCGGGGACGACAAGTTTGAAGAAAATTGAAATTCAGTACTATAATTCCCAGTTCTAGCACTTTTCCGAAGTGTAATCTAGTACTATAAATTTCCGCTTAGGAACAGCATCATCATTGGCATGACATATTGACATAAGACATAACCTCAACTAATGATGAAAGAAAACAAACAAACTCAAAAGTCTCAACACAGAAGTGAAACTAAAAAGTTAAAAGAAAAAACCAACTGAACTGCTAAGTGCCACAAGTTTTTGGTATATTTATTTCTGTACACGTTTTGAAATGACAACTTTATCTTATGTTCAGTTATCCTCTTCTATAAATCCAAGTTTTTGGAATAAACTTTCAGAATTGAAGTTGGATGTATTTAAATTAAATGAAGATGGAAAAGACATTTGGGGATACTTTCCAATTACTGTGCTAATAGTGAGCAGTACGAATTGTGCTACACCCTTTCTAGAAGTAGACAGCACTTCTTTCAACTCGTAGGAGCTCCAATTCTTACCTTACAATATTATCTTATTTGAATTTTATTCAAGGGAAGTTAATGGTCAGCTTACTTACTTGAAATTCCATGGAAAACTGTATAACAAAAACACCTTGGAACAATTCAAGGAGTGCAATAAAATGGAACTTATAAATGGAGTGGGACAATCAATTACTGAACAAATCATAAGTGGCAAAGCTCTATGTGATCCATCTATCTTGAATACATTTTTGTTGTTGTCATTTGCTGTAAGGTTAAATAATGTTGTGTGCAAATGTGAATTTGAAATGTGTGTTTTCAGGATTTAAAAAAGTATCATTATTATTATTGGTTTGGATTTCCTGTTCCAAAAGGATTGGTCATTGAAAAAATTGCTTCATCACCAATAATAGAAGAATTCTCATTAGAACTGGTAAAAACTAATTAATTATTTTGAAACCAAAATATCCTTCAAAAGTTTTGTAGGCAGAGAAGATACATAATGGATATAAACAGCTTGCTATCAACCAGAGATGCTATTTTTTAGTTATCAAAGGCAAAAGTGGACTTGAAGTATATACACTTGCTGAAAAATTGAAAGATATAAACCTCGAAGACATTCCTGAAGTGTATTTTGTATTTCATAACATCAGTTCTGTTAGTTCTTCAATAGGATCTCAGCTGAGAAATTATGTCACCCTTTTACTACATGAATGGTAATTTCCTATTATTCCCAGATAGATATTCATGTGTCTACTTAAACTTCAGTAAGTTTTTAGCAAATGAACAAGTTAACTTCATAGCATTCCATTTGAGCAGAGAAAAATCAAGAATAACTTGCCTAGACAGTATTTGCTATAAATTGAAGCTACCTGCTGTTGCCGACTCTACTCTGACTTCAGAATGGGTAGGCTGGGAAAAAAATGAGAGGGGTAAGATGGGACCTAAACTAGCCAATCTCAAGAATAGTTTGGATCCCTTAATGTAAGTTCTGTAGGCTGTTTTTTTCAAACAGTATGAAATTTGATTCAACACTGATTTATGTCTGTAGGTTGATCTACAAGACAAAATATTCTTTTATGTGATTTTCCAGGAGTTTCTCTCCTAATGGTCTACTTAAAAAAATAGTATCATTTCACTATACTGGTAGTAAGGATGAATCAGATGATTTTCACTAAAAGAAGCTAAAATGTTGCATGTGCATGAAATGTCACTATTAGAGACCTGAAAGAGAAATTCAATCAATAGTCCATGACACCTTGTTTGTATTTATTTAAGAAGAATATAGGTACATACCAGGTGTCCCAGGGCTTTTAGGCCAGCAAATATCTGGGTTATCTAAAATTTTAAAAAATTGTGGATTTCATGGAAGCAAATAAAGCTCTCCAAAATGGGGAGATCAAAAATCACTCTTGTGTCAAACAAGCTACACCTCTCCTCACTTAGGTTTTTCAAATTGTACCCTCATGTTCAATTCCATTCATCTCACATAACTTCTCCATGTCAATTTGACTATACAACACAATCAATAAATATATATAGTTATAGTCAAAATTATAAAGAAGTAAATAATTTTACAGGCTTGTTAACCTTGTATTATGTTGAACAACACTCTACCAAAACTGTTCCTCTATAGAACGGTGAGACTTTGGAATCATTCTTTGCCAATAGAAGTATTCCCAAGAACTTATAACCTTCAAAAGTTACAAAAAAATTCCAACACCTACCTCCTTTCCCTATCCAGGTACGCAGGATGTTCTGTGAATATTGTTGGAGTTTCTTTTAGCCCCTACAAGAGAAAAAAATACCTAGATTTTCCCTGAAAAATCTAAGATACACAGGAAGTCTAAATAGGCCATATGAGACAAGGAATGCAAGTGATAACAGTTATTTCAAACAATCATTCAAGGGAACATCAATATTTTTTCATAAAAATTATTTAAAATACATATTCAAAACTTCAGAGAACGAATTTCTTGTTCTTGCCATACAGTACTTTCGTAAAGCACTGAATGAATTAATTTATAGCCATACAATCCATTTCTGAGGAATCTCCTGAAACAGGTCGATTTCCATCTTCAATTTACCATATTTATAAGAACAAATTAAATATACAGGGTGATCCACGTTTGAGCAATGACGACCGAGAAAGTTTCGTTTCGGTGGACAATGACGTTTACTAGCCTTTCAATCAAAGCAGTATGTGTCTGATCGTTTCAAAACTTTTCCTTATGGATATAGTCATTTGTCTTCAAAAATCGGCTTCATGTTTCGCTATGGAAACAGATAGAGATTATCCGTATTGATTATTAATACGTATATGATCCATATACGTATTAATAAACAATACGGATCATAACGGGTGCCAGGATGAAGCCAAAAATATGAAACAAATGAATATCCATAAGGATTTGGTGGCATGATACGCATATGCGCCATGCGCTATTATAGTAGTCATCAAAGACATGCGTTTCGGTGGACAATGACGTTTACTAGCCTTTCAATCAAAGCAGTTATGTGTCTGATCGTTTCAAAACTTTTCCTTATGGATAGTCATTTGTCTTCAAAAATCGACTTCATGTTTCGCTATGGAAACAGATAGAGATTATCCGTATTGATTATTAATACGTATATGATATGATCAAATCAAGTAGGGTCAGAGTCACGTGTGCAGTGTTGTTCTTGTCATGACTTTTGTAATAGATCTATTACTATTTCACGGAGATTGTTAGGATATTAGGATTTGTTATAAATCTATTACTATTTGCTGTAAGCACCAAAATATGATGTTTCGTTAGTAAAAAATCTATTTCTGTGTTCAGCGTATAATTATGTTCTGCTCTGGGTATATTCCGAATTCAACTGGTCAGTTCTCTCAGTAGATCCCCTGAATCTGCTGAAAATCTGTGTTCCGAAATATAAAATCAAAAATACAGTGCTGTAATTCGGGACACGTTTTCATGGTTTTCATCAGTAGTCAGCAGCAGTTGGTCAGCTGGTGAAATTCGTCAGTCTGTAGTTTCTCGTTTATCTGGACTAGATATATTTAATATTTAACATGGAAGAGCAATCGATTCTTGTAGCCTCCATAGTTTCTACGATTATTGACGATGACTATATTCAGGCTCGAGTGATAAAGAATACTTGGACATTTTGTTGCCATTAATTCCTCATGATGCACCAGATTGAGAATTGAAAGATTTATAGAAGACGTAATGATGAATTCAGGAGACATTTCAGGTTTATTTAGTTATTTATTTTACCAATCATGCTTCTTCTTTTGTTACCTCTACTACTTCATACTCAATATTATTCTCAGCGCTTATTATTTCAATAACAGGAATTTTCTGATATTGAGAATACGGAAATGAATGTTACATTCCTTCCCCCTCTAAAATAATGACAGTTCACTGAAGCTAGGGTCCCTTGATCGAAATTGACGTTAAAGTCATCTTAACAGGGTACGGACAGCAGGGAGATTCTATTTCACGAATCGAGTCGAATCGGCCATCTTTCTTCGATATTTGGTATTCTGTTTCTCGAATGAATCGTGTTAACTCGATACGACTACTCGATAGCTCAAGAGGAGTCGAGTTGATGCATTTAGACAATCTATCCTTATCTTTCATCATATCGTTTCTTTCCATCTGAAAATTTCAGGTTAGGATATCTTTTGCTTCTTGAATATTATTTTTTATTCATTATTATTTGTGATCTTGAAATTAATAGATAAGTGATGGCTTTCAAACTCAAAGATGCCCACTGGGAAATACTGATTTCGTTCTTAGAAGAGCATAGTAATATGGCCACAGGACGTTTTTCTGGGCCTAATGGTCGGGAAATGAATAAAAAATTATGGCTGAGACTTAGCCAAGAGTTGAATTCATTGGGACTTGGAGAGAGAACTCCAGAAAAATGGCAAAAAGTAAGATATAGCAAGGTAGATCTGTGAAGTGTTATGTATACTTATCAATATTTTTTCCCAGAGTTGGACTGACTTCAAGTACTTACTGAAAAAGAAAGCTGGCACTATCCAAGTGGATATATTTAAAACAGGAGGAGGCCCTTCAGATACCTCACCACTGAGTAATTTTGAACAAAGGGCCTTGAAAATTTTGGGAGAAAGCTTTTACAAAGGCACAGGTTGTTCGGAAGTGGCTGTGGTTAGTATGTAACTAGCATCTTTGTCTTTCATTACAAATCACTTTCATCATTCATGGTACCTATATTATTATTTTTTTAGAGCAATATTGTTCAGAGAGAAAAAAGTATTGTTGGTGAGCCATTAGACCAACCATCCACAAGTGCAGGACCCCAGGCAAGACCAATTAAAACTCATCCCCTAAAGATCCCTCACGAATATGTTGGTGTTGATCATGATTACTCTGTGCAACCAGCAAATAAAAAGCGGAAGACCCTTCAAGATGAAGCTTATGCAGAAACAATCTCAGTATTGAAAGACATTAAAAATGTAGTGAACCAAGGACTAGGTAAAATATCTGCTAGTATTGATAGGCTGACAGAAGCTGTACTAAAGCCAAATAAGTAGTTTGAATGTAGTTTGAACGCAATGTGCAGGATTATTCAGGGTTGTGATAATATAAGTCATTATTTGTTATGATATACCAATGAGGTACCTAGTACATTATATTTAAGGAACTGTTCAGTAGGTGAAGAATATATTTTTTATTTTTATTTTAGAGGGATATATCCAACTCAATGTTATGTTTGTGTTTTTCAATTATTTAAGACTGATTATGAGACTTGAAATTATACTAAAAAAAAATGAAATACTTGAAATTTATTTATATTTCCAAAAATACCAAACTTCTAATGTTAAGTGAGTTTAAACAATTTCAACTCTAATACTCAACATGAATTCTATCTAAAATATCTATTGACAATGATATTCCTAGCCTGAATTCCTTGTTGTGGATTAGGGATATTCTGGGGAACTGCAGCAGCTGGAAAATCTTCATTGAAAATAGCATCTTCAAAAGGAATATTTTCTTCAATGCACATATTGTGCAGCACTGCACAAACTTGAATGACATCACACATGAATCTTGGATTATAGCGTGCAGATCTTTCTTTCAAGAGGCACCTAAACCGCATTTTTAGGACACCTATGCACCTTTCTACACAATTCCTTGCAGCAATATGTGCAGTATTGTAAGCCCTTTCAGGACCCCCCTCAGGTGGATTGACAAATGGGGTCATTAGGTAGGGCTGCAAGGGATATCCACTATCTCCAAGAAGCCAGCATGATTCTTGATTTTCTCCTAATGTTCTCATGAACTGATGTGCTTGAGAAACACGCCATATGTATGAGTCATGAGTAGAACCTCCAAAATTGGCAAATAAACTGCGAATTCTCAATTTGTGGTCACAAATGATTTGGGTATTGATGGAGTGAAAACCTTTTCTATTTATAAAATTATGCTCTTCTTCCTTGGGCTTCAGTATAGCAATATGTGTTCCATCTATAACACCAATGACACCAGGAAAACCCCACTGATTCATGAACTCTAGTTTTATAGAATTTCTTTCTTGAATGGTATCTGGAAGCCTTATATTTTCACCAACAAGATTGAGGAGTCCATTTGTAACAGCATAAATGCATCTATGAATACTAGTTTGACTTAAACCACAATTGTATTCTTCACCAACACAACGTTGGTAAGAACCAGTAGCATAGAACCGCAGTGCACAAAATACTTTGGTTTCCAAAGTTATACCCTTTCTATTCGATCTCTCAACTAGATGAGGCCTCAATGACTCTATCAAATGACGAACTAACCTTTTGTTCAACCTGAATAACTCTATGAACCTATTTTCTGGAAGAGCAAAAGGATTACTGATGTTTCGCAGCTGTTGTCTTCGGCGAATTAAATTTAAATTTAATATACGATTTTCAGCTTCTACAATACGGTCTCGGATAATAGGTAACATAACTGTTTGATTGTGAAAAAACTCAAAAAAATGTAATATTCATTAATAAAATTAATAACATTTAAATAGTTCAGTGGTGTCAATACAGTCAATTGTCATTTCATTGAATCAAAATTTCATCCCATTTCACCAAAAATGTACAGAAAGCCGACGATTTCCGAAGTTATATTCGATCACGATTTGGTCGTGGAATTGAATCGGAAAGAAATTCGATGTCGAGTTTTATCATCGTATCGTACGACAATCGACGATCGTGAAATAGAATCTCCCTGCAGTTTTGTCTACTGGCATCCCTGACATTGCTGTCACGTCACATCCAGGGGCGCTACAGAAAATCATTCAAAATTTTAATAATAGGAATGTACAGGGTATTTACTTGTTGAGGAAGATCATATGGCGAACGAGTTTTGTAATTATGATCCAATTCTATTCAAAACTGGAAGGTATCTGGGGTTTTCCGAGGTTAGAGATAATGATTGTTTCGTTATACATGGAAAATTCAAGATGACGAATCCAATATATAGCGGAAGACATTTCTAATTATTATCTGATTCTACTTAAGTCTACGAATATCGCTGAAGGGTATGTGCAGCAATCTCTCACAAAATAGCAAACAATTTCGAACCAAATTGTGGGTCACTCTCTGAAGTTGATGAAATTGATTGTAATCAGCCAAGTACGAATTCTGTATAATAATGTTTCTTATGAAAATATCACGAAAACTGCATAGGCTCCAGAACTCAATTCAAATAACCACTGCTCAAAACTGAACTCTCAACATTAGTTCATATAATTATTACTCTACCACAAATTGAAAATATGTAGAATGCAAAAGTGGAAATAATGTGCCTATATAAGTTATACTATATACCTCGCTATATACCTACTTCTTTGTTACTTGCATCAATGAAATATTTGAAAATGACTCTTTATTTAAGGAAGACGGAAAAATCATATGTCGTATAACATGGGGTTAAAGTATATTCTATTCTTTATTTTCCTGCACATTCTACGTATTACTTTTTATATGCCTACTTTTCGTCCTAGACGAAGTTTTATACATATATTAGTCACTCCATAAATTCTTCTCCGAGTTGGATTTCCGAAAATATATTTAGCATATATGACATGAATTCACTAGTTCAGATACCCACATCGAGGTTTTCACCATTTCTCAATTATAAGGCTCAGCTCATTCAGCTCATAGATAAACTACTGCTCAGCTTGAAATCAGAATTCATTCAGGTAATTCAGTCCCAGCCAACACATTTGTGACATGACATCTCTGAGATGTCGCGCCTAGGTAACTGTGCGATATCACAAACGTTCTATCGCTGCGATGTTCATAAACAAACACATCTGCGACATGACATCTCTGAGATGTCGCGTCTACGTGACAGTGCGATATCACAAACGTTCCATTGCTGCGATGTTCATAAGCAAACACTTTTGCGACATGACATCTCTGAGATGTCGCGATGAGGCAACACTTCGATATCACGAATGTTCTATCGCTGCGATGTACATCAGCAAACATCTGCGACATGGCATCTCTGAGATATCGCGATGAGGCAACACAGCGATATTACCAATGTTTCATCGCTGCGATGTACAGAAGCAAACACATCTGCGATATGACATCTCTGAGATGTCGCGATGAGGCAACACTGCGATATTACGAATGTTCCATCGCTGCGATGTACAGAAGCAAACACATCTGCGACATGACATCTCTGAGATGTCGCGATGTGGCAACACTGCGATATTACGAATGTTCTATCGTTGCGATGTACATAAGCGAACATCTGCGACATGGCATCTCTGAGATATCGCGATGAGGCAATACTGCGATATTACGAATGTTCCATCGTTGCGATGTACTGAAGCAAACACATCTGCGACATGGCATCTCTGAGATATCGCGATGAGGCAACACAGCGATATTACGAATGTGTCATCGCTGCGATGTACAGAAGCAAACACATCTGCGACATGACATCTCTGAGATGTCGCGATGAGGCAACACTGCGATATTACGAATGTCATATCGCTGCGATGTACAGAAGCAAGCACATCTGCGAAATGACATCTTTGAGATGTCGCGATAAGGCAACACTTCGATATTACGAATGTTCTGTCGCTGCGATGTACGAGTAATACAATATTCGAATTTCGCATAGTCCGTAGGTCCGTCCAAAGTTGCCAATATCATTTCACCCTCGCGAGAATTCCGCATGTATTTTTGAGCTCAATTATGAGACAGGATGAATACAATAGCGAAACAGTTCACTTAAGTCGCTGATCAAATTTAATTGAAGCTACCTCGTTTCGAAATTGTTCTACACCGCTTCGTTCAAGGAATCTACCTCGATCAAAAAGAAGATTGTGGCAACACTGGTCGTGACTCGTGACAGTCGTGACACTGAAACTTGACAGTTGACACTGAAGGTATATTTTATTAGCGTCGTTCCCGTTTCATCATCGTTTCGTTTCACGGCACACGGCACCGGCACGCTGCTCAGTGTTCCTGTTTGTAGTAGTAGAATTTAAAGCCGGGGTGAGTATAAATAAATTTTCATTTTTCACTTGGAACTTGGAACCATGTCAAGGCGTTCTTTTTCATCTTACTCATATCGTCATAAAAGACGAATTATAATGAAAACATCTGGTATTCTGAATATATCCGATCATGGTAGTCCAAACAATTATTCATCTGTCTCTGACGCCGCCTGTGCATTAATGGATTCTTCAGGAAACATGAGAGCTGATGCTGAAATTTTCTCAGAATTTGTTTCAGAGGAAGGAGTTGCAGCAGATGACAATGATGTGATAATTTCTACTAAAGCCTCGACTAGAGCTAATATTTATATTATATTATATATATATAAAATGTTGTCCATATGTGATGTCCAGAAACGATAGAAAATAACATGGATTTCATAGCTTCCATATTTTTTGTTGGAGAATCACCTCTCATATTTTGTTTTGTTCATTGTATATTGAAAATAAATGTTTATTCATATTTTTTTCATCAGACTTTTCTTCCCTGACATTTTTTCCTACATATTACCTCACCTCTGCGTAATAAATGTACATCGCTGTAATGTCATAGGTTTACATCCCTGCGATGTCATATGTATGCATCCCTGCAATGTCATATGTATACATCCTTGCGATGTCATATGAATACATCCAGGCGATGTAATATCGCATCACTTGGTAGATTCATCGCAAAAACACTTCGCTTTACCATCACAAATAACATATCGCAATTACATTGCAAGAAATATATTGCTGTTATATCGCAGAGAAGTTATCGCAGGTACGTCGCATGGAAGAAACTTGAGTGGGACAAAATAACATCCCCCTGACATCGCAGCGACGTCTATGCGACATAGAATGCGATATCGCAGGTCACCATTGTTACATCGCTGCGATATCTCTGTGATGTATCTGTGTTTGCTGGGGTTAACCCTGTTATACGGTCTAAGAACCAGTCTCTTTTGGTGAAATGTATTGAGCTTTCAGTACAAATTATATGTTCCCTACCTCGCAAAGATTATGCTGGAGTAGTGAACTCTAAAACTAGAGGATTGT